AGAACCATATGCGCATTCTTTGGAATGGGGAGCTTCTTCAGCCCATAACACCCACTCGCGGAGTCCGATAGGGAGACCCCTTATCTCCTTACCTTTTGTCTTGTGTATGGAGAGCCTCTCTCACAGAATTGATAAGGCTGTCCGAGATAAATTTTGGAATCTCATTAGTTTATCGAGGGACAACTAGACATTTACCCATCTTTTCATTGTCGATTACTTGATTTTGTTTGTAGAGGGGAAGATATCCCAAGTCGGGAATATGAAGCAGTTGCTGGATGAGTTTTATGATAGCTCAGGGAAGCGAGTCAATTTCGCGAAGTCTACCATCTATGTATAACCGAACAAGCGCCAAGCGAGAGCTCAGTGACTAAGTACCAAAGTTAGCATCTCTCTTGCGCCCAACCTTGGGAAATAATTAGGCATTCAGACAATTCATGGAAGAGTAATCAGGATCAGATATCAAGGTCTTCTAATACAGATTAAGAAGAAGCTCACGCCGTGAAAGGGCAAAAGGCTATCTCTTGCTGTGCGGAGGACGTTCACCGGATCTATTTCTCTATCTATTGCTACTTACCCTATGCAAACTGAGTTGCTGCTTGTAAATATTTGCAATGATATTGATAAAATCAACAGAGATTTCATATGAGGAAGGAGGATGAGAAAGGAAAGATCCATTTGGTGGTGTGGGATAGATTCCCTGAACCCGGAGCTCAAGGTGGAGGTGGTCCTCATTCTATCCAACATGCAAACGGGGCTATGCTAGCTAAAGGAGGATGAGGAATTCTCCTAGAGAAGGACTGCATTTGGATGCAAGTCATGAGAGCGAAATATGGAAAGCAGCATGAAGGACTAGATATTCTTCAACCAATAAAAGGAAGTTCCTTCATTTGGAAGAGCTTCACTAAAGCGTCTACTCTTCTCCAGAATGGTTGTGTGTGGAATATTCATAATGGGAAAGGAACTAAGTTTTGGCATGAGGCCTGGTTGTTGCAGGAACCTCTGGTTGAGCTAGCTTCCCAAACGGTGTCCGAGGATATGATGGATGATCCTGTTGCAGCCTACTTGGACGAGGAAGAACAGGTGCACAGGTTGCTTCAAGGGACTGTAGATGGCACTATCCATCCCATCCCTAGAGCACTCCCTCCAGCAAAAGGCTCTAATGTCGTATAATGCATTGTAGGCCCCTATAGTTAACTTGGGCGGACAGGGATCCAGACCGAGGAGGGCGTTTTTCTCGCAGCGGGTGGCTCAATTTGAATGTGGATGGTGCCTCAGCGGGCAACCCAGGACTCACAGGATTTGGTGGCATCATCCGTGATGAGCGTGGGAAGTGGATAGTGAAATTCTTAGCCAAGGTCGGGGAAGCCTCGACGGCCCTTGCTGAGCTTTGGGATATCTTCTATGGGCTTCAATTTGTCTGGAAAGTGGGGGGCGGGTGGGGGGGGGGGGCCTTAGTAGTTGAGTCGGATTCTTAGTTGGCCATCAGCTGTCATGATACTGTGCATCCCTATGCTTCACTGTTGGCCTCGATCCGGATGAGTTTGGCTCAGGATTGGTTGGTTAGTATGGGTCATGTACACCGGGAAGGGATTAGAGCCGCAAAATGGCTCTCGAAGCATAGTCTCGTCTATCCCCCTAGTATGCATGAACTTGACGAACCACCTCCTGCCGTAGTTTCCATTCTTAGAGAAGATAGTATGGTGAATCTCTCTTGATCGTCAGATTGTGACGCTACCGGCTTCACTTTCTTAACCTCTCTTGTCTGTTCGGCCTCGGCCTCCTTCCAATGCAAAAAAAAAAAACATTATATCAATACTACCACCATGATATCAACATCATATCACTGATATCATACTACTCTAGTTCTAATATTGTGATATGAAAATGGTAAGACTCATCACATTCATTTTAAGTCAAAAAATTTAAAAAATATTGTATACAATGAATGCATTAATTATGATTTACACAATGATGTACATTTTGTTATGTTTTGTAAAACATAAGATCTCATACCAACATCATATCAGTTTCATGTCATGATATTATCACTATATCATAGTGATAAAATCATAATATGATAGTGATATAATGTCATCAAATGATTTTGATAAATAGGGATGGCATACATATCCATAACCATGGATATCCGCACGAATCCGACCTAATTGGGTAGGGTAAAACCCGAATCCGAAAGACTTTTAGTGTGTATGGATAAAACCCGCCCGAATATTGCGGGTAATGGGTGGGCATGGGTTTCTTACTATCCAACCCGAACTCGCCCAATTTTACACGTGCATATATATTTTATCTAGAAATAATAATTATTTGTCTCTAACATATTTTATATTTAACATATAAATATAATATTTTCATGAAATTGTGTTGTTTTAATTAATTTTTTTTATTCTAGTGAACTATTGTCGTACTTTTACTCTTACGTAATGTGAAAATGTGTGTGAATGTTAACATATTGGTTGGAGTTATATAGAGAAATTATTACCCATGGATAACGGTGGATACCCGAAACCCGAACGGGTATGTGCATGGTTTTGATTTTCTATCAATTTCTTATACCAGTATGGGTATGGGTAAAATCCGGACTACTTTGGGTAGGGTTACGGATATGCAATATCTGCCCCCAACCCGACCCATAGCCATCAATAATAAATATAAGACTTCATACCAATATCATATCACTATCATATCAACATCATATTAATATTATACCACTATCATATCAACATCATACCATTGTGGTATCAAACCACTGCCATTGATAATATCGTGATATAACAGTGCTAAGATGATGTAGAAAATTTTGCTCCAAAAAATATCAACAAGGATATAATCTTGTTGAGAAAAAAATGATTTTTCTATGCAAATTTGAAATCCAATGCAAAACAAATAATCTAAGGTTCGTTCAATTTTTGTTGGAAATTTGAAAAAGTGTCTTAAAGAATGTGGAGTTGAATTAACAAATAAAGGAAAGAAATTGGTCGGATCCCAGTAATAACAATCATGTGTTGATGTTATCTGTTGGATTACAAAATAAACTTTCGAATATTGGAGGTAAATGCTACATTTAAATATGGTAATTTGTTATTTTATTTGTAATATAGTATTTTCTTTAAATATGGATGGAAATTATACGTAGATTGTCTTAAGTTAGATTATATAAATGCACAATTCATTTGATGCTAATGGTTTATGTTGGTCCATGGACCTCAAGCTTACTAAAGCCTACTACAAACAGAGCACAAGCTAAAGCACGACCCAAGTGGAGCCAAAGCCTCTCAAAGCCCATATGATGGAGCTTAGCCCAAATAGACCTGACAAGTCGGGAGCCCTAGGCCGTTAGCCCCCTGAAATGAGTTTTAGGCCTAGTTAGAAGAAGGCCCACCATGTTGAGAAATATGGTTGGACGCTTCACCGAGGTCACAATCTCGAGGAATGCATTAAATGGCTTGTAAGGCGTCCTAGTTAAGAGACAAAAGGATTGTACTAAGCCGCATGGCACAACATTTAATGCTCAGCAAACATCAATAATCAGTGGCGTAGCCATAATTCGAGTTGAGTGAGGTCCCATTTATAACATTGTATTCAAATATCAAATAAATTCTCTTAAAAAATATTCAGTCATATAGTCATTCATCAAATCATCAGTTATTAGATTTGTACCGTACATTTGTGAAACACATACTTGAAAAGTGATATTTTGATAACTAGCTAAAATACATAGTTCCCAAGTAAAACATAAGACACAAAACGTGTTATGAAGTACATTTGACATTGTATCTTAGTAGAATAAAATTGTTGAATTAAAGGGTTTTTAGATATAGCAGAGATTTTGTATATATATCTAGTGGAATTAGTCATTTTTTTAATTGAGGATTATAAAATGGAGGAATTTTAATGGTATTTAACCAATATAGTCTAATTTATTTGCGTGTTTCATAATATTATGACAATTAAATTTCATACGAATGAGGTCCTTAATTCCGAATATAATCCAATTAAACAAGTATATACACATATATAACCATTTTAATTTATGGAAGTGGGATCCTAGGACCCCACTCCTCTCCACCTACCTCCGCCACTGTCAATCGTGAATATAAATAAAGCTCCTCGATATCAGTAATGATAACTTCAATTACCCACTCTCGTAAAAAGATTGGCGTACATTTTCTCACTATCGTCAGAGAGTGTCTCGGGCTCCTCACGCTCGTGGACGTTTTATGCAGGTATCTTGAGACGTCCTCCCCTGACATTCCAAGTCATGAAAATGCCTCCAATTTCCATTGAAAGTATAAATCTACATATTTTCCACTATCTCATAAAAATCGATATAAATCAAAATATAAATAGAGAGGAATTTTATTATGCTATATAGCATTGGTGCTCTAGGTTTTTGCCTTTATGGTATAATTTGAAGTTATACATTTAACGTTATGGTACAATTTTAGATTGTACCTATACTCTTTTCTACAAATTATTTTATGGTACAACTTGAACTAGTACATTTATGTGATGGTACAACTTTAAGTTGTAAAGTTGTACGATAACATAAGAGTACACATTTTTTTATTGTACAACCTAAACTTATACATTTAATGTTATGATACAATTTCAAGTTGTACATTAAAACACCCATACTTTAGAGCATAGTAGAAGTGCTCATAAATACAATCTATTCCGATTGAACCATACTATACTACTTTTGAAACCGACTTCATAGTGTAAACCGTTTTCACAATCTTGCATTTGCATAGGCCAATAGGGGTTCAAAAAAGTAGGAGGATCAATATTCCGAGGAAAGGTGAAAAATTCCAGCCAAACTTTCCTTTACCGCTACAGTTATCCATCTGCCCCGCGGCGGCTCCATCAATTTCCCATTTCCTTTCTTCGGCTTCTCCGCTGTACTCTTCCGCCGTATAAGAGGAAGACAAGAAGCGAAGTGAGCACTCTCCTTCCAAGGGAATTCCCCTCCGGCGCCAGATATGAACTCCCTTCTCCCTACCGATTCTCCCTCCTCCACGCGCCTCCGCGCCGCCGCGGCAGCGACTACTGCTACCAGCGCCACTCTCACTAATGCTACTCCTGCCGTTTCGTTCTCTCACCGCCAGCTGCCTTGCCTCTTTCTCTCTCGCCCCGCAGGGAGACTCCTTCGCGTTTCTTATCGTCGGGCGTTGTCGTCCTCTGCCGTTGCCGCGAGCGGGACCTTGATGGCCTCCGTGATACCGGTATGCGTCTTGAGCTGCGTGCCCCGTTCACGGCGAACCTTTCTTGATCCTTTTTCTATGTGGCGATTTTCCCCGTTGAGCACTGAATTCAATGTTGGATTGGCGGTGATTACTGATTAGATATTTGCCCTGCAAATTTTTTTTTCCGGATAATGTTGGTTCAATTGAGCTTGCCTCTCATTTTTGAGGCGGTGCCCTGAGACTGAGTGAAGGTATCCAGAGTCGTTTCTTAATTTCTCATGGTGCCTTGTGGCGATGGGATTGTTCTCTTTGCTACTACTGCCCGAGCCACCAAAATACATTGAATGTAATGTGATTGTCTGTGAATATTGCGTTGTAACAAATTATTGGTGTATTGTGTTGCGACATATTGTTTTGTATATGGATCTTTAACTGTAAACTAGGACTCCAGTAAGTTTGATCATGCAATACATGGTTGGAAATACTTGCCATTTTTGTAATTTGTAGTGTTAGAATGAAGAGAAAGGTTCCTCCTCTAGTGTCACTTCTGTCCTTGCATTCTTAAAGTTGGGTACTCGTTAACTGTTTCCCTTGTTGGTTATGCAGCCTAAAAATGGTGTGTATACAGTTGGTGATTTTATGACAAAGAAAGACGAGTTGCGGGTGGTCAAACCGACGACAACTGTGGATGAAGGTACCAGTTTGAATTAGATAGATTTGTTGACTAGTCTGTAATCTAGTTACCAATGTTTTTTTCTTTCTTTGTTGCAACAGCACTGGATACCCTTGTGGAACACAGAATTACTGGCTTCCCTGTGATAGATGATGATTGGAAGTTGGTACTTCCCCTGTCTCTCTTTCTCTATGCTTCAGCTTGATTTGTTATTTCTGGAAATATAAAGTTCAATTTTTTGTCTATTTATTATTTTATTTCCTTTATAAGCAAAAAGGCTGGATTTATGCAAAGCTGAACAGGATTTTCAACTGCTAGTTAACTTGTGATATTGAATGACTAGCAGTGGTGCTTATGATGTTTACCACTGTATTCACACTACGAGTTGAGCTTTTGGAAGTGATTTGGAGATTGTTTTAAACCGCAGGTGGGTCTGGTGTCGGATTATGACTTACTAGCACTCGACACCATATCAGGCAAGTTGAATATCTGAACTACCATTTAGAATGCTTTGCTGCTCTAAATCATGTTGGTACACTATTGCTTTCGCAATCTTCCTGATTACACCCTTGGAGTAGGTCACTCACATCATTAGACCTGGTATTCCAAGTTGTCGAGAAACTTTTATATAGGCTATGCATTCACTGGATCAGAGAATCTCCATGTTTACTCATAGCTGCCATCTCTTAGAAAACACAAATAAAAGAAACTACGATCTTCAATATCTTAGTATGGCGATGCTTAACTTGATGCTGATTGGTTTACCATCACTGTTGACCAAGCAGCTAACTGGTAGAGTTGCAAATAGTTTGTAGCAGGAACCCTCTTTCATATACCTTCTTTATTGATAGTGTACTGATGTAGATGCCATTTTAACATATTCTTGTTTGGGTACTAATGGTTTTAGTATTTTAACCAGGCCAGAGAGCTGACAGTGGCATGTTTCCTGAAGTAGACAGCACCTGGAAAGTATGTTTTCACTGTCTCTTCTAAATGCTAATGGACAAACACGATAACTAGCACACTTTTCTTCATGCATAAATACTACACAATTGTGATCTATTTTCCACGACTTGCAATTGGATATCTTAAGTGTCTAAGGCCCTTGAGAAAGAAAAAAGATGGTTTTAGACTACTCTGGACTCCTGTTTTTCTGACATCACCATATCTGAAGGAGTTAGATCTCTTGTTAATGGATTTTGCATTAGTGATGGAAGTATATGGAACTATTTCTATTTGAGAATGGCAATAACAGTTTGGTATAGGTTGATTAGTCTGTCGGAGAATAGAGCAAAAACTAATTTTTATTTGAGAATGGCAATAACAGTTTAGTATAGGTTGATTAGTCTGTCGGAGAATAGAGCAAAAACTAATTTTGCGAGACAGAATATTTGGCATTGATGTTTATGTCAATATTACTTATATAATGAATCTCATGGTATCATATTCTATGCTAAAGTTGAAAGAGAACTATACTCCATCTTTATGCAAGACAGCATTTTAGTTTCTCTGATACCCATAAAATCAGTGCAGACATTCAATGAGATACAAAAGTTACTCAGTAAGACCAACGGGAAACTTGTGGGTGACTTGATGACACCAGCGCCAATGGTTGTTCGTGAAACAACTAACATTGAAGATGCTGCAAGGTATGTTTGCGGTTAAAGTTTTTTTTTTTTCTTTCCCCGGGCTGCTGCATCACTTGCGACCATCGCTGCATTGATTTCCTTGGTTGTTTCATATCGTGCCAGATTACTGTTGGAGACGAAGTTTCGTCGTCTTCCAGTTGTAGATTCTGAAGGGAAACTGGTGAGAGATGTTTATCTATTCTGACCAGTTAATTTCTCAGTTCCTGTAATGAAAACTCCATAAGCTTTTGATCTGGCTGTTTGAACTTTTGAAGGTCGGGATTATTACACGAGGAAATGTGGTCAGAGCTGCCCTGCAAATAAAGCATTCCTTTGAAGCAGATGCATAGTTTGTCCGTTCTACAAAACACCCATCTCATGAATTTGAATTAAGCAAGCGGGCAAACTGATGAGCTGAGATCACAGTTCCATTTCTGTGAGCTGTTCCAGTCCTCGAAATCGACGAACCAGAAGCTTTGTAAGATCGGGACGAGCTTAGTAGCTTTACTTATACTGGCTTTTATGCTTTGTATCACATGCATTATATGTACTACTAGTATGAGTAGGCACTAATAAATTCGCCCTAACGTTTTCTCTTGGCAGAAGGATCAAGGGTGTCATTGGCTTTATATTTCTCCTTTGTCGGACCTTCATTTCATTGTATAAATCAACGCATCCACTAAATAACAGCAACACTTCATAAAATTTCAGTGCAAAGCACTTTAAAGTAAGGTTTGAATCCAGGGAGGGATTTGAGGTGGAGGGTCACGAACTCCACAACGCAATGTTTTAGAAGTCCTATTGTAGTGGTTGGGTTGGAAATACAGTACGGATCCATATTGGTAGTTGATTTTGTATCCAATCCATCAATCAAATCCAATCTATCCACATAATACCCAACTAATTTTGGAGGAATTTTACAATGTTATATAGTATTGGTGCTATAGGTTTTTATCTCTATGGTACAACTTGAAATTGTACATTTAAAGTTATGGTACAACTTTGAATTATACCTATACTGTTTGTACAAATTCTTTTATGGTAAAACTTGAACTTGTATCTTTATGTGATGGTACAACTTCAAGCTGTAAAGTTGTACCATAACATAATGGTACAATGTTTTTTTATGGTACAATCTAAACTTATACATTTCATGTTATGGTACAACTTTAAGTTGTACATTAAAGTACCAGTACTATATAACATAGTAGAAATGCTCCTAATTTAGTCTATTTATATCCAACCCATTTGATCAAAGATTGGATTAATCGATTGTTTGCAAATAACGATTTAGTACCCATATCTTTGTATTTAATAATTTGGTACGTAAAATTTAATATTATGAAATCTTAGTATCTTTCAAAATTTACATATTGGTCCAATTTTATATGTCATTTGGATTCATGATTCAATCCATCAATCCACTAATCCATTTGATCCATTCTATTTTATCTATGAATCTACCAATACAATTCACCAATCCATAAATCCAATTCATTTGGAAACTTGATATCTGCCCAATAGAAAAGGAAATTTAGGTGGACTTCTTGGGGTGAGATAGCGTGACTACCCCTAAAGGGGTTGGAAAAATGACATCCCTATTAATTATAGTTTTTTTAAGGTAATTAATTTGTGCTTGCCTTTAATAATCTGTCTGAATTAAAAACACATATTAATTACTTCCTTTTTTTTCCAGTGCAATGGTAGTTGTATCCGTGTAATGGTATTAGTGTACAGGTGCAATGATAGTTGTATCAGTGCAATGATAGTTCACATCAAAGAATATAATTAATATGAGTTTTTAATTCGCAAAAATTATTAATGCAACACAAATGTAATAAGCAAAAATTATTAATGCAACACAAATGTAATAAAAAGTGAACGGGATGTAATTTTTGATTTTTCCAAATGAGTTGTCAAGCTAACCGACCCCAGACTTCTTGGAAATGAAAGCATTGCCTCGATTTGGTGGCTATTTTGTGTACTGGTTGCAAGTCAAGTGCTTTAGTAGGACCTAGGGCAAGAACAATTTGTTGGGTTTTCATTTCTGATGTGCCATTTGGCAGACAAAAGGGTTGAGCAAAGTGCAATACGGGTGGATGATGGTGTCCGTGGGTGGGTTGTGGGGGTAGGGAGGGAGATAGGGCCGAAGTAGTTTGTCCTTCCTTCCAGCGGGCCATTAGATCAGAGGTGAGTGGTGGACAACTTTATTGTGCTCTTATGGGCTGTAGTCGGATTGCCCTGCCTCTCTGAACAGCTCTTAATTTATGGATAAGGATTACTATGCAGAAGGGCAAGATTGAGCCTTTGTGGTTGAACCCACAAATCCATTCAAATTAATCAACAAACAATTCACTCGTTACGTTGTTGGTGGTTTATATGGGTGAGTGTAGGTTTAAAAATAGGCGACTCACTTGGGTTTGAGTGGACTGTAATTGACCCACAATCCATACAAAAGTGTAACCTCAAACCAACAAAAACTAACCTATAACTTTACCTAAGCTCAAACCCTCAAAATCACCAAAAAAAAAAAAAAAAATCAATCTTGATCAAAAGATCAGCCAAAATTTCTAGTTATCATTTCTTGCTAGCCCATTCGTTGTAGTTCAGATCAGTTAGGACGTCACCACCAAACAACTGACACGGATGTTCGGATGGATGAAGGAAAAGAGGCGAGCCAAGAGGAATTGAGTCGACGCCAGCGATGAGAGCAGCCTTGCCGGCAACTGTGCTGTCGCTCGAACCATCAATCTTGTCGCCCATGATTGCAAAGATCGAAGTCGTACGAGATCGATTATCGCTCTGATACCATGTAAAACTTGATAGCGCGGAAAGTAAAGAACACGAGATTTACGTGGTATCCTCGTTCTTAACTGAACGAGACTAATCCACGGGAGCGAGCTCCAGAGAGGGTTTTCACTATGGTACGGCCGAATAGAAATCAAGGCCGAATTGGTTTACACGGCTGATTAGCAGTAGCTATTTAACTAGGGGATTAGGGCATTAAGCTACCTAATTACAAAATAGTACTTATAATTTAAAGTAGTAGCTATTTACATCCCAACAGTTATTATTAGACTTGCACCATGTTTATTGGTTAAATAATTTTGTGATCCGTGAACGATCCCTAGTAGTAATATTGTAAACAAAATGATGCATCTGATTTATGAGTTAAATGTTATTTAGTTTGGAGGTTTTTTCATTTTAAGTTCAAAACAATTTGAATTATGTGACTTTTTGGAATGAATATTGTAAATGTAGTAAATCGATACAACCACTCACCATCAGCAATCATCCAGCCCAATCCACCCATATTTACATGTTTGGATAAGTGTGACTCATTTTCTATTTCATGCATCACTTAGTGGCTTGGTCTGAGCCTACTCCAAATCCCACAAAACCACTTACTGCTCACCTGTACACAAGAGTTCAAAAAACATTCTCTCAAGAAAAAGAGCTAAAAGTTGGGTAATGTCTGTTTTTTATCAAAACATTTTTCAGATTCTTTTATATTATCCAAACCTATCAAAATACTAAGAATTAGCCAAATGTTAACTTTCAGTTAGCAATTTTATTAGTAATATTGACTTGGCAACATTGCAAAATTTTAGTATTTTAACTAAGAAAAGAGTTACAAAATTACTAACGATAACGTAACAATGGCTAATATTTTGATTCATTACGAAAGATTTGGCTAATTAATAGCATTTTAATAGGTTTCGATAATATAAAAGAATATGAGAAATGTTTAGATAAAAAATAGACATTACAAAGTTCTAAAAGAGTATAAAATTTAGGGTTAATATTTTTGCATGGCCTGAACTTTGACCAAAATAAACATCCTGGCCAATCTTTTCGACCTATA